ACAGCAGTCCCGAGCAAGCACATTCATCATTATCGTCGCTATCATCGTCAAAATCAGCACCGTAATTGTTATAGTCGGTATCAGCATCGGCACCGTCATCGCAAGTGCTGTCGCGGTCATCAGCGCCGTCCCAATCAACAACATCAGGTTGGTCATGAGATCTATCGCCAGCACTGCCAGCAACGCCATCAATAGATTCATCATCGCGCCAACCTAGACCACCAAAATCACTAACATCAAAATAATCAGCATCCATCATAATCATCCGCACCCTCATCATCACTATCACCATTGCCGACACCATCATTATCAAGATCGCCCTTATCAGCATCAGCACCATAAGCACCATCGCCACCATCGTTGTGATTATCATCACCCTCGACATCATCATCAGCAACGTCAAGGACAGCACACTCTTAACCATATTCACTAGCATCAAGGTCAGACTTTGCCTCCTCGTCGTCGTCGCCATCGTCGTTGATGTCATCGTCCATCGACAACCTTCTATCGCCATCGCCATCGCAATCCGGATCAATACTTGCAGCCACAGAAGGAGCATCGACACTATCGCAGCCCACCTACAGACCTTCAGATGTTAACTACGTTGTCTATCCGACGAAGCCATCCAGAATCCATCGCGCCCCCCTCCCCCCCCCGCCTCCCCCACCTCCTTTTCCACCGCCCCCATCCGCTTCCCTTGGGGGCGTTTCCCCCTATGGCTCGCAATGCCATGCGCGGGCTTGCGCCCGAGACGGCAGCGCTGCCCCACTTCATCGGCGCATATCGAATACTCTCAACCTCTCGACTGAATACTCGCCAGCCCCATCCGGCGCGCCCTCCCCGGCCCAGGAAGCGCCCGCCAAAAGAAGACCCCCGCCATGCGCTTGAATGGGCGCCTTCGCCGCAGGCGCCGCAGTCGCGCCCAAATCTCGCATCGAACCATGGCCTGCAGAGCCCCTCGCACGGGCTCGTCTGTCAGCACCGCGCGCGCACGTTCTCGAAGAACTGTGCAATCGTCGACGCATCCAGGCGCTCGACGCCGAGGTTAGCCGGGCCCAGCTCGCCCGGCACCTCAGAGACGGCGAAGCGGCCGCCGCCGAGCGCCTCCTGGACGCGAAGCGCAGGGGTCACAAAGCGCCTCACCTCGCCGCGGCCGCGGCGCTGAGCGACGCCGATGGCCGCGGGCGAATCCGCCCGCGGGCGAGCGCCCACGGCGACCCTGAAGCCAGCAGCGAACACCTGCATGCCGATCGCGCGCGAGGCCGAGCGCGCCAGCCGGTGGAGCTCCGCCCCGCCGGCGCGCATGGACATCGGGATCTGGGTCGCGGGCGCTGCGGCGAGGGCGCAGAGGCCACGCATGACCACCGCAGCCGAAGTACATCTTCTCGCGACATGGCAACCAGCCCAGTCAGCGCCCCTGCAGACGCCAACGCGCCCGGGCTTGCGCCCCCGTCCGCAGCGCCAGACTGCTCGAAGCGCCCCCTTGAGAACACGGGCGCGACGCTTTGGCTTCTGGACGCGTCGCGCCGTCGGCTTGCCCAAACCCCTCGCGCACAGGACCCTCGGCCTGCGCTTCTGATCCTTCCCAGCTAGCAGCGGGGCGCCGCCGTCCTCGGCCGCGCCGAGGTAGCCGCAGTCGAAAGCCGCCACTGCGAGAGCGGCCTTATCTGGTCATCGCGGCGGCGGCCAGCCGCGAGCCCCCTGCCCAAGACGCCGTCTCGGCGCCGCGCGCGGCAGGGCTCGCGCGGCATCTCGCGCGCGGCCCTCTCCTCCGCCGTCGGCCCATTCAGCGCTCGGGCCGGGCGCGCTGGCGCGGCCGCCTCCGCCGCCTCCTGAGCCAGGCACGCGCCGCCCTCGCCGTCGGCCGCCGCCGCCGCCTCGAGAGTGCAGAGGTGGGCCGCGCGCGCCTCCGCGGCCGGCGTCACCTGCAAACCAACATCGTAGACGCGGTTCCTGCGGGTGGACTGCCACTGCGATCCGCTCGGCCTGACGCGGGGGGCGCCCAGCTCGCCGTCCTTGCCATGCACCGCGCGGTACCCCGCGTCGAGAATCTCCGAGACACTCATCAGCGCGCGCGAGACGTCGGCCACCCGGAGCTCGGCGATGACCAGCGCGTCCGAGCCCGCCGGCACGCCGAAGACGGCGCGCTCGCCCTGGTCGTGGACCTCGCTGACCCTCGACGGGGGTGGTCTGAGCGCGAGGTAGTGAAAGGCGCCAGGGTCGCTGCGCAGCTCGCAATGCCAACCCCGACGGGGCTCGGCAGCTGATCTACCTGCTCGAACTCCTCGGGAACTGCACGCGCGCGAAGCCCGGCAAACGGGGACGGGCACTCTTCTGTCGTCTTCGGGCGGAGTGTTGAGGTAGACCGCCTCCGGGCTGTGCCGGAGCGGTCCCAGAGCTTTCGGTCGAGAGCGCGGTCACCGGCCTCCGGCGCGTCGCACTGGCCGTGCTCATGCTGCTGCGCGGGCCAAGCTGCGTCGAGATGCCCGCTGCGCTCAGGGTTGCCAGCGTCGCGTCTAGGTCGCGCACCGCGACTCCACTCCTGGCGCGATTCGGGCAGCCCTTCTGCCCGTGGCCTGCGCGGCCACATGTCCAGCACGTCGCGCTGCCCTGCCCGCCCTGCACTTGGCCAGAGCTCCAGGCATCGACCCGCGACCGCGCGTTGCCCTTGCCATTGCCTCCGTCGGCGCACTTGGGGCCCTCGCTCTTGCCCTCCGAATCCTTGCCCTTGCCGCCCGGGCTGCCCTGGGAGCCCCTGCCCGTGCCCTTGGGCCACTTCCTCTTGCGCCCTTTGCCCTTGTGCTTCGAGCGCAGGTCCATAGGCGCGGGGCCGACTGCAGCCCGGGCTCTGCGGATGTCCGTGGCCTCGCGCCGGAAGACTTGCCACTCCCGCAGGCGCGTCGCGCTCAGGAGCTCGCAGCGGGCCGTCCCCCCAGTTGCCTCATCGCTGTGCCGAAGCGCACGCTCGCGCTGATCGGTTCCTGGCTGCACTGCTCGCAGCGCGTCAGCTCTCTCTCTCTCTCTCTCTCTCTCTTTCTCTCTTTCTCTCTAAGATGCCCAGGCGATGCTCGATGTCGCCGACAAAAGGAGAAGTTCCGGAGAGTTAGCAGCAGGCCAGCAACTTGGCTTCTCGCATTCGGCTCGCAGTATTCGGCCAGCTTCCGCCACTCCAGAAAGCCCTGGTGCTCGCAGGCTTTCACACACATCCTCAGAGGATGCAGCCGACATAGAAGGAACATGATGTAGTAGAGCTACTGAGACGGCGCGGCCAGGGCGCCAAGGTCAGCGCGCAGCACGGAAACTCCATCAGGACCCTCAGCGATCGCCGTGCCATGCGCGATCTCACTGTTGACCACGCCCACGTACGCCTTGAAGATTACCTTCCAGTCGTTCAACTTACCCTCCTCGCCTTGGAAAAGGTCTGGCTTGCCTAGGATCCTCGTGTCCGCAAGCCCTGCTTCATGTTGCGCGCAGCGTCCGCCGCGGCCGCCCTCGCCATCTGCCATATGGCGCAGTCGCTCTAGCTCCTCCCCGAGCGCCCTCTCTCGAGCGCGTAAACACATGTTGGCATTTCGCCTTTAGCTGCGCCACGCGCTGCTCAAGGGGTCGTTATCGCGAACTCCGTCGCTCAAAGCCCGTCTTCAGCTCCGTGAAACCCTTTCAGGTGTTGGCCGAGCCAAGAACAGCACCTACGCTTGAAGAAGAGGCGGCGGACGAAACTCAGGATTTTGCGCCACCGCCGCACTGCCTCTGGCCGACCCTCTGCGGCCTCTGGCGCCGCCGCCGCGATCTGCTCCAAGCCGTGTTCCTGGAAGGTGGGAAGCCGGGCGGCGGCCACGCTAGACGCGCAAGTCCGCGGAGCCTGACTGGGCTCTGCTACCATGAGGGGCGTTTCTCTCCCTAGCGCTCGCAGAGCCTTACATGGGTTTGAACCCGAAACGGCAGCGGTGCACCACTTCATCAAAACATACCATATAGTCTCAACGTCTGGACTGGATCTTCGCCACACCTCCTCATCGCTCGCTCGCCCGCCTCAGGACAAAACAGGCTCTAGACATTCTCTTGGGGTCAGAAAGAAATGCGGGGACCGCACAAACATTTCAAAACAATATATGCAGTAGGAAGAGGGGGGGCACGGAGGAGCGACTGCCCTTGCCCTGCGAACGTGGCCTTCAACCTCGACGTCATCCTCCTGTTCCTCCTCCTCCTCCTCCTCCTCACCCTCCTGCTCCAGGACCTGCCCTAGATTGCTTGCTGACCAAGATCTCTAGTCGAGTCCAGCCTTGGGCGAGAATCGTCAAAATCTTTGTGATCGGTCCGCCGAAAGTCTCCGGAGGTTTCTGGAAGTTCCTGGAGGCCTCTAGACTCTAGAAGTTCTCGGATGGATCGGAGACCTCCAAAGTCTTTGAAATCCTTGATCTTCGAACCTTGACTTTCGAATTCTGATGGAGCTGCATAGGGGCTATAGCAGCCTCAGGACCCTTGGAAAGGCTGTCGAGGTTCTGCTTCTCTTTCGGTGGGAAGGGTGATGTTTTGTGCTCCTCCAGTGAACGCCGATCGTGCCAGTTGCGGAGGGGCTTAAACCTGGTAGTCACTCGCATGAGTGATGAAATAGAGGGAGTGGGACGGGAAAGAGGGAGGAACACCACGAGGGAGAAAGAACGACGACGACGACGACGACGACAACGACGACGACGACGACGACGACAGCGACGACGACCACGACGACGAGGACGACGGAATACGACGCCGACGACGACAACTGGCGCCTCCTGGCCAGGTCTGGGGGTCTGGGGGTCTGGGGGTGCAAGGGCCGTCGCCGCCGTCGCCATCGTCGCCGTCATCGATGTCGGCGCGGCCGCCGCCGTGGCCCATGGGTCGCCGAAGCCCCCAAATGGGAAGGTGTGTATGCCAGGAAAGCCACGCACCTACGGAAGGCGCATCCTGAGGAAGCGGTGGCGCTGCTGAGGAACGGGGCGCCGCCGCCGACCCTCACCGAGGCCACGACGGCGCTCCCTCCGGCGCAGAGGGAGTGGACATGCGGACTGTGCGACGCGGGACTCCCCACCTTGGGGCGGGCGCAGGGGAGGCTGAGCAGGAGGAGCCATTGGCAGAAGTGCCACGACGACGTGTCGTTCGAGGGGTTCTGCAGGAAGGTGGTCACGAAGCGGAACCTGGCGGTGCAGCAGGAGCGGTTCCCTGAACACGCCCTCGTGGCGCTGCCGTACCGGGGCCACGCCGAGCACGTGGAGTACAGGAAGGACGGCACTCGCGTGACCATGACGCAGTTCAGATGCAAGAGGTGCCTGTTCGCAGTGGCGGGCGCCAGCGTGGCCTCCAAGCAGCTCCGGCATGGGCTTTCATGCGAGCAGAACCGCCACTACACGCTCACGGACAGCAACGCGCGTTCGCAGCTGCGGGAATGGTGGCTCGAAAAGCGGAAGGCTGGGGAGGAGGAGGAGACTTTGAGGAAGCTGGGGACGTGGAGCCGCGCCCGGGCCCTGCGTCAAAGAAGGGGCGGCCGTGGGCCACGACGTGGACGGTCAACGCAGGGCTGGGAGAGACATCGTGGCAGGCGCTGGAGGCGGCGAGCCAGGCAGAAATAGATGTTGTATTCTTGCAAGAGGTGGGGCTCACGGACCAGGATTGCGCCGCATTCGAGGCCCGCGCGCGCAAGTTCGGCTACAGGAGCTACTTTTCGGGAGGCGCCGTGGCCCAATCAACGGCGCCCCACCAGGCAGGCAGACCCACTGGTGGGGTTTGCACGTTGGTGTCTAAGGCGCTGATCTCCCGGCAGCTGGACCACCTGGTGGGCGAGGACGCGCAAGCGGTGGCGGTGCGGGTCGAGGACCTGATCACGGTCAACCTCTACCAACCTCCCGGCAAGGCCAGGGACGAGGCTATGTCGTTCGTGTTGGGGCTGCTGGAGACGCTGAGCCGTAAGCACACCTGGTGCATTGCGGGCGACTTCAACGACGAGCCCGGGGAGAATCTGCTGTGGGATCTGCTCCGGGAAGAAGGAGCGTGTCTCCGGACGGCGCTGGATGACAGAGGAGGCTGCGTTCCGACGCGCTGGGAGGGGCGCAGGTGCATCGACTATTACATAGCCTCGCACCCGACGTGCTTTGACCAGCCGGCGTTGGAGGACATCTCGTTCAAGGACCACCGGGTTGTCGCTGCCGAACTGCAGGTGGTCCGGGGCGACAGGGGCGCGCGTGAGCCGGATTGCATTCTAGGCAGGTCGGCCAATTTGGGCTGCCTGGGACACGTGGAACCAGAGCGATGGTGTCAGCTGCAGCGGGAGGTCTATGCGACCATGGCTCCGCCGAGCCTCCCAGCTGTGGAGGAGCCCCGGGACATGGACGCCATGCAGAAACAGGTGGACGACGTGTGGAAGCAGACGTCTCTCTACCTCGAGCACTTCTTCAGGAGCACGATGAGGAGGGCAATGGAGGAGGCAGGAGAGGAGGCGGAAAGCATCCGAGGATGGAGCATCAGGAAGAACACGCAGACGTTTCGGTACCAGGAGCACAGGTTCGGGGAATGTGACGACCCGCACACGTCGGCGCGCATCCAGCAGCTTGACAACCTGCGCGGGCGGATGCGGCACATGCAGTGGCTGCGGAGGAAAGGCCGCGAGGAGAGCGCCGAGGGGCGAATGCTCGAAGAGAGAATCCGCGAAGGGCTGACGAAGCATCGGCTGGTGACGTTGAAGGAGGTCGAGGCGAAGTTGGCGGAGCACCGGAAACAGCGGAGGCAGGGCCGCATCGACAGGTGGCGCAACCGTCTGCGAGGGTCGCTCCGGGCATGCTGCGCCTGGGTGGAAGGCGGCAAGGCACGGCAAGTAATGCTCCCGAAGGAGGGCAAAGGAAGGAGAAAAAAGGACGGGAGCATAGCTGTGCAAGCGCTGCGACCCATCACCATCTTGAGCTGCTGGTGGCGCCTGCTCGGCAGCGTGCTGCTGAGGTCCCCCGACGCCCAAGCGTGGCAGAAAAAATGGTGGAGGGAGGAGGCAGTTGGAGGACGCAAGGCCGGAGAGGTGTACATGCCGCTCATGCGCCTCATCGACTCGTACCACCAGGGTGAGTTCATCGCGTTCTATGACTACACGTTGGCTTTCGACCAGACCGACCCCAAGCTGGCAGTTGCGGTGTTGAGGAAGCTCGGGTGCCCGCGCACGGTCGCCGCTATCCTGGAACAGGTGTGGACCGGACAGCTCCGGTACATGCAATACCAAGGAGTCACACTCAGGCGGCCAGAGGAGGTGGGCACCTCGCTGCCCCAGGGCGACCCGTGGTCCATGATAGCTATGGTGGCGGTCCTACACCTGCCGATCACCGCCATCGTGGCGCGCTTCCCTGGGACGGAGCTCTCCTGCTTCGTGGACGACAGGTCGTGGAAGTCCAGCACTGCGCAGGAGCTGCTGGCAGTTGGTGAGGAGTGGAGGAAGTGGTCGCTCGTCTTGGGCCTCAAGGAGAGTGAGGCGAAGTCCCAGCACGCCCACTGGACGGCGGCGGGCAGGAAGCAGCTGCTCAGAGCAGGCGCGCCAGACACCACGGTGACGGACGCTCCAGAGATCCTCGGGGTGGGCTTCTGCAAGGGGACCGGCCGCCAAGGAGGAAGAGGAAGGAAGTATACCAGGAAGGAGGAGACGAGGCTGAGGAGGGCCAAGGTGATGCTCGAAAAGAGTGCGCGCCTGCCGGTCTGCAGAAGGATGAAGGAGGCGACGATGGCGAGCAAGGCGCTGGCAGTCGCCGAGTACGGCTGGATCGACAGGCAGATGAACAAGAGGGACGAGACGCGGCTACAGGCGGCGATCGTGAGGGCAAGGCAGGAGCCCAAAGCAGGGAGCCCCCACCTCCGGGCCATCTTCCATGGCCACCGGCTTAGTGTCAGGTGCCGCCTGCTGACGACTGCCTTCATGGCAGCGTGGCGCACCCTCCGCAAGGACCAGCGGCGGGCCACGCTGGGAACCTGGAGGAGGCAGGAGGGATGCTCTGGCCGGATCCACGCTCCTCTGCAGGGCTGCGGCTGGCAGGAACGCGCCGAGTGGGAATGGAGGCACCCAGTCACGGGCGTCATTCTCAGCCTGCGCAAGGGCAGCGAGCACTGGTCTGAGAGCAAAGGACGCCTCGAGCACGTGCTCCGGGAAGGCTGGCGCGCGAACCTCTTCGGGAGGTGGCGGGGGCAGAGCCGCATCGACTCGTCTCTGTGCCGGTTCGAGCAGTACGACGAGCGGCGCTGCAAAGCCGCAAGGCTTCTGGCAGAGGGCAGCACGCACGCGGCCAGCGTGATGTCCGGAGCTTTCGTCTCGCCGGCGCACCTGCAGGCGGCGAAGGGCAGAGAGGAGAGAGGAGGAGGAGGAGGAGGAGGACGAGGACAACGACGAGAAGGGCGAGCAGCAGTGCAGGAGCATTGCCCCCGCTGTGGGAGGAACGAGGCGCCGGACTTCGAGCACGTGGTCTGGCGCTGCGAGGCGGAGATCAGGCCCGTAGGCCGGCCACAGGATGCGCTTCAGCGGCGCCTCCTCTGGCCGACTGGCCTGAAACGCAGGAAGGAGGTGGACGCCGGCCTGCTGTGGCGGGCCGTCGCCATACGCAAGAAGATCCTGGAGGAGCGCCGCGGAAGGAGGCTGGCCGAAAGCGCCGGCAGCGCACCCCCGGGGAGCTGAGGGCAGGACGAGGAGGTAGAGGAGGTGAGGAGCCAGAGGGAGAGGTTGAGGGAGGGCGGCTTTCTAGGAGGAGGAGGAGGAGGAGGAGATAGAGGCAGAGGAGAGAAGACTTGCAGGGAGGAGTGAGGGAGACGAGGAAGAAAGGAATCAGTTTCACACATGTGCACTGTTATGAAGTTGCAGTACACATCATTCAAGCTTGTGTGCGGCCGCCGCCGTGGTCGTCGACGGCCGAGATCCGCTCGAAATGTGTTCCACGCACCCCGGCTGGGGTCCGTCCTTGCCAGTCTCACGAGCTAGCGTCCGGGCAGTGGCGGCGAGAACCTACAGAAGCCTGAGGACCGACGTCGTCGATCGAAGGTGACGACGTCGCCGTCGCCGCCGACGTCATCGCCCCAAGGCTCTGCCCTGAACGGGGAGCTCCCTTGCTCACCCATCAGCCATCGACCAAGGAGGAGACGGGGGGGAGGAGGAGCAGGAGGAGCAGGAGGAAGAAGAAGATGAGGAGCAGGAGGAGACGGCGGGGAGGTGGGAGGAGGAGAAGGAGAGGACGACGAGGAGGACGAGGGAGAAGGAGGAAGAAGAGGAGGAGGATGAAGGAGGAGAGGGAGGAGGAAGGAGGCAGAGGAAGAGACGAGGACAACAAGGAGGGGGAGAAGGGGGCGAGGTTGAGGGGGCGGAGGGGGGGACGAGGAGGACCGACGGGACGAGGAGCCCCTCAGCCTCTCCCCATGCGCCTCCTTGCATGGGGAGCTGTCGGGGGGCTTCGAATATCTGGCGCCGCATGAGGGGCAGGGGGCCGCGGCAGCGGCGAAGGGCGAGCTGGCCCAAGACACGGTCGCCGTCGTCCTCCATCATCATCTTTACCATCATTACCATCAACCCCAAATCACCACCACCAAAATCCTCGTCCTCCTCCTCCTCTTCCTCCTCCTCCTCCTACTCATCATCATCATCATCATCATCATCATCATCATCATCATCATCATCATCATCATCATCATCATCATCATCATCATCATCATCATCAGCAGCATCATCATCAGCATCAGCATCAGCAGCATCAGCATCAGCATCAGCATCAGCACCACCAGCACCAGCATCATCATCATCACATCATCATCATCATCATCATCATCATCATCATCAGCATCATCTCCATCATCATCATCATCATCATCATCATCATCATCATCATCATCATCGTCAGCATCAGCATCAGAATCAGCATCAGCATTAGCACCAGCACCAGCACCATCATCATCATCATCATCATCATCATCATCAGCATCATCTCCATCATCATCAGCATCATCATCATCATCATCATCATCATCATCATCATCATCATCGGCATCATCATCAGCGTCATCACCATCATCATCAACAGCAGCATCATCAGCATCACCATCAGCATCAGCATCAGCTTGATCATCATCATCATCATCATCATCATCATCATCATCATCATCATCATCATCATGATCATCATCATCATCAGCAGCATCAGCATCAGCATCAGTATCAGCATCATCATCAGCATAATACTCATCATCATCATCAGCATCATCATCGTCATCACCAGTATCATCAGCATCAGCAGCACTATCACCATCAGCACCAACATCAACATCATGATCAGCATCAGCACCAGCACCACATTCATAATCGTCAGCATCACCATCGTCACCAGCATCATCATCAGCACCCATCATCAACATCATCATCATCATTTACAGCAGCATCACATTCCTAATCATCAGCATCATCATCAGCAACATCTTCATTATCATCATCATCATCACCATCATCGTCATCATCATCATCACTGCCGTCGTCATCGTCACCAGCACCACCATCAGCATCATCATCGTCATCATCATCGTCATCATCATCAGCAGCATCACCATCAACATCATCACAGTCACCATCACCATCACCATCACCATCATCAGCAGCATCAGCATCATCCTCATCAGCATTGTCAGCATCATCACCATCATCATCATCGGCATCATGAACAGCACCATCATTATAGTCATCAACATCATGAACATAATCATCATCATCAAGATCATCCTCATCATCTGAAAACACGATTCGTCTCCGGCCGCGCGTCCCGCGCCGGGGTTTCGTTTCTCAGCTCCGCGCTCCGCGAAAGGAGTTTCTCGGACGGTGGACCATGTAACAGCTGTGCTCTCTTGAGCGACCTCCCCATTCATCGTGTGAGGGCGAAGGGCAGGGGTTCCATAGGGCAATCCATGCTCGCCTACCTCGTCGTGGGCAACGTCCACCTGGACATGTTCTCGGTTGAATTCGGCGAGAGGGTCGCACATCAACTGTTTCTGCACGCGGATGGCGCTTGAGACGCACGGCCGTGTCAGCATTTTGGCACATCGTCGTGCGACGGCCGTTGCAGTAACCCGAAGGTGGCCTGCACGCATAACGGCAAAAATGGCTGGGCCCGCTGCCGCCATGGCGCGAGGAAACGCACCCAGCTCCGAAACACACTCCGGAATCCACTTGGACGACGGCTGCGACCTCGCCTACGACAACACCACCTCCTATCCCGTTGCTTCGTGTTACTCAAGCCCTGAAGGTTGATCATGATCAAGGGTCCGCGCGTCGTAGCCGTCATTCGCAGCTGCTCGATTCCCTTGGCCTGGCGATCCGACAGGACGTTGCCCTTCTTGATCAGCCTCATGATCAGGTCGTCTTTGAGACCACTCACACGCAAGCCTCTGGCTCTCAAGATCTGCTTCAAGTCGACTACGAGAAACGCGTTGAAAAGCTCGTGCCCCGATCCTCCGTCGCATCGTGCTGGACGAGGCTCTGCCCAAAATCCTTGTACACTTGTGGTCTTGACCTCCGCGTCAGTCCGCGTAGCCAGGTAAACGTCGGCGTCTCCAGGTGCGGGGTCAGACGCCTCCTGGACGAGCTCCCTCTCGAGGCAGCTCCTCGCGCAGCAAGCGCGTACGCTGCCTAAGAAGAGCACCGCAGCGATCACCGCGAAGACAACCTTCTTCAGGATGAACTCGAACTCCTCGCTGTCCACGTAGTGGGGCCCAGGTGCGGGACAAACCGCTGCCTGGCCTGGCTCCTCGTGCACCGCTACCTTCTCGCCTGACGCAGAAGTCACGACTCCCGCGGAAACTGCCATCGCGCGCAAGCCCTTGAACTTTTTACTGTACATGAGGCTCAGAAAGGTGCAGCGTTTCAATATCGTCGACCACTCGCTGTACTTGGCGAGCACGTCGGCCGTCATCTCGTTGGCGCCCTCCTTCAGGAGCTCAAACGCCTTGAGTCGCAGCCGCCCTTGAATCCACAAAAGTACCCCAGTTCCAGGTGCCGGACCTTGCCCGCGCCCACTCTGCTGCGCATGCCCCGTCCCGCGGTGCTGTCGCTGGAAATATTCGGGTTGCTGGGCCTCCGGGTCTCAATCAGGTAGGTATTGCACTGGAGTCCTCTGGCAGTCGCACTGCCTGTAGCATACATCTCGGGTTCCCCTGAGCTTAGAGCTATTGTGCTCTGCGTCGCTGGGTAGCAGTCCCATGTGTGGTCACCATACCGCACTGCTCCTCCGCTCGTGGATCGCCTCTGCAATTCGCATGCAGGGGCCCAGTCCGCATCTCCGCCCACGCGAATCCCTTCAGGAGTACTCTGCAAAGGGTAGCACCACACCAACACAGGCTGTCCTTCGCAGTACCGCCCTAGCCGCTGAGCTCGCGCATACATCAGAACATTGGGGATTGAAACGCGCTGCGTCGCGGTCTTGCCGGCGCGCGTCGTGCGGGGGGTGCCCGGAGAGATAGAGCGCCGCGCCTGCTGCACCTGCAGCTTCCCGAGCCCGATCCTTGGACAGAAGGTCTAAGCTGTCTCGTCGGCCTTGTCCTGTCGCTTTCGTTCCTGCAGTAGGAGCTGCCATGCACCCTCGCTCCTGTGTCTACTGAATCATGAAACCCACGTGCTTGAGATCCGCTGTCCAGAAGAAACCTGGATCCTCTGAGCCTGGCAGCTGATCGGCGTACCCGATGATCCTCATGAGGTAGTTCGTCTGCCCAAGTCTTCCTGGACCAAGTCTGGCGCTCGCTGTGCCCGCATACTGCTGTTTCAGCAACTCGTCCAGCTCATCCAGCTGCTCGTCGTAGCCTTCGGCCAGTGAATCGTCCCCGTGGCAGATCGCTGCACTGTCCACGCCGACGGCAGGAACCTCGGGCCACGCTGGTAAGTGGAACAACTTGTCGCCGTCAAGCAATCCCAGTGGCCGTCATCCATGGTGGTCCGCACCAGCTCCCCCCACATCTGCGACGCCTTCCTGCAGGTGCCGTTCATGGCCTTCCGCAGCCACCAGCACCTTCCAGGAGGGCGCAGCTCGCGTCCAGGATGAACGTAGATCGTCTCGCCGAGGTCGGCGTTGAAGAACACCTTCCTGGCGCCCCAGACCTGGATCATCCGCTTGTGCCCCCCCGTCGAAGTAGGGCTCGATGCGGCACGGCTTAGCGTCGCCCTTGCAATCATGAGCTGCGGCGTGAAGTGGTTGTCCTCGCGCACCTCGTGCTTGTTGATCTCAGTCGCCACGAACCTCCACCTGACTCCGCCTTCCTTCTGATGGGCTGTGGGAAACCTCCAATCTGCTTGCCGTCGGTCGCCGTCGGCTTCGCCACCTCCACGTAGAGTCCGTAATCCTTCATGGCCTGATGCTCGTCGTCGCGACCTTTCCATTACAGATCCTCGTCCAGGGGCTCTCCAATGTAGCAATCGTAATGCATCGTCTTTGGGCCCCACTGGTCGTGCTCGTGCAACTCGGCGCTGACCTCCACCATCTGCTCGATCTGCTCCTCGTCAGGGTCCCCATATATGACTCCTGATCGCGCCGATGTGGCTCATCAGGCAGCGACTGCATGCACACTCACCTCGGTGGCACTCCTTCAGCTGGCATCTCGGCGAATGCTGAATGCTTCTCACACCTATCCGAGCATCTTGAACTTCGCTTCGGGCGTGGACCCCACGTCGGGTCGGAAGTCTCGTCGCGGCCATCCTCGCAGACTGCCAGTTCGCAGACAGAGAGCAGACCGACGGTTGCTACTCTCGACTTCTTGATCTCCACTTCGGTCCTAGGCTCTCCTGGGGCGCCTGTCTGGAAGTCGTTCCTGTTCTGGTCAGGTTCCGTCTGCGTGTCTGTCTGTGCTTCTGCATCCCCTGGGACAAGGGGCATGGCCACGTCTTCTGCAGCAGGTGCGGGTGCCACCGCTGCCTCGCTGCTGCTCGATGCCGCTGCTGGTCCAGCCGATGCCCCAGGCGCGGGGGGGGCCGCAGCTGGGGCTGGCACCGCCGCCGTAGCCTCTGGGGCCACAGTGTCATTTTCCAACTTCTCGCGCAGGAGGTCGGCCTGGATTGTCTCGAACCGCTGACGGCAAGCTGCCGAATGTGATCCATATCCTGCGCTGCATTCCCTGCAGTCGTCGGTCGGGCCGCGATCGTCGATCATGCGCTCCGCCATGTGCATGCTGCGCCCGACGGGTCCTGCACACTTGCCAGGGATGTGCTTCCACGGCGTCGCCCTGATGTTCTGGATGAGCTCAGGCTGCCACCTGCGCTCCTCTGGCATCCCCCGCGCGGCCCTGACCTTCTGCGCGCCACGCCCTGGGCCGATCGCGACGTGAGCGCCGTCCACCTCGCTCTTCCCAACCCACATCGCAGTCGCGAAGCGGGCCTCCCACTTGCCGCGTCCAGCAGCAACCCGGGTTGAGATCCGATACCATACCTGCTCGCCCATCTCCGCGATCTCCCCACTGCACTCCGTGCCGCACGGCATCTTGTGGGAAGAGCCCCCATGTTTTCGTGGCTGAAACCCGGTGATCATCCAGCCCACCGAATTGACGAGCCAAGGCGCGATAGGATCCGTCACCTTGATCTCGCGCCCCAGCTAGTGCTCCAGCTTCAGCTTCTAGGTCCGCAGCAAGCCTGCTGCAAGCTTGTTGGCACCCTCGGCGTAGCCAGCACTCTGCTTCGGAAAAAAGCGGCGATCCCCGCGCCAAGGTAGAGCGAGACCTGCGATCTCGAACTGCACTTGCCAGGGCCATCGTGGCAGGCCCCTGGCCTGTGCCCCGCGCGACTGTCGCGTGACCCCAGACCTCTAGCACAGCTATCAAGAAAGACACCTTGTAATCGTCCGGCTCTTTGTTAGCACACAGCGTCGCCTGTGCCAGGGTCTTGCAATCGATCGCATTCAGAACCGAGATCGCCTGTTCTGGATCTGCACTTGTTACCAGCGGCTTCTCACGCAAGCTGAAGTGAGCAGTGACCTGCAGGGCGATGGAGAACGCTCTGGCCTCGCTGCACAATCGCATCTGCGGCCATCGAGGCACTCCACGTCGGCAGCTTCCGCGCCCACTTGGATAACCTCTCCTCCTCTGGACAGGTTAAGCTCCACATGGCCGTGCCTCGCGATCTCCTCGCCTCCGATACCCTTCAAGCCACCGGCGTTGCTGTCCGTCGGCGCGCAGTTGTGCTTGGTCACCTACTTCCTCGGCGCTGCGCTGAACTGCGCGCCTGAATCGAGCGCGATGGCATTCCGAAGCGGGGCTAACCGCAGTCGGTCGCATTCCGGCACCGGCTCTTGTAGGCCTCCGACCTCGGGCAGCGCGGGTCCGACCGCAGCTGGCAGCGCGGGTTCTACCGCAGCTGACTCGCAGCAGCCACAAGAAGTCGAACTTCGAGAACTTGCGCTTGTCCAGGCAGCACTCTGCGCACGTCTCGCAAAAGTCCATGTTCGGCTCATGGCGATGCCACCTTTTTGCCTTCGAACAGCTTCTTGCGCGAGCTGCAGATGGTCTCGGGCTTTGTGGCCTCGGCCCTAGGGACCAGAATCATCTTCGCTTGCAGCCCTCTGCAGACTGGCAGTGTCTCTTCGCTTTCGGCGCTGCTGCGTGTCCCTAGCAGAAGCTGCGTGGGCACCGTCGACCCTGTCGCTGGGGCTCGGCCTGCTTGTCGCAACATCTCGAGCTCTGTTACTGCCGCTGCTGCGGCCCTCATATTCTCTTTGACCTTGTCTTGTCTGTGCTGTTTCTAGTCCTTGTTGTCGTGCTTGGCGGCTGCCTTCTTCTCGTCGGCTATCCGCATGCGGCAGTTGTCGCTACGGTGGCCTTTCTTGCGACAGTAGTTGCACTCCAGGTCGGCGTCTGGGTTCGACGGGCTCTCATTGCCCTTGCCTTCCCTGCCTTTGCCGCGGCCTTTCCACGGCTCCTCGCCGCCTTTTCAACCCGCCGATGTCCAACGGATCGCCATGGGCTGCTCGCTCCGCCATCAGCGCCGACGCGACTTCGGCCCGCAGGAGCTCACACACGTTCAGCCGACTGCTGTTCCGAAACACGCGCTTCTGCAACTCGCCATGATTCTTGAGCGCCTCGGCGAGGACTCCTCGTTTGCTGAAGTCCGACACACACGGGCTCGCCCGACATCTCCCGGTGCCTCGCCCTGTCCTCGTCGAGCTTGCTGATACTCACCATCGCGCCGTCTTCTGCCTCAAACTTCGCGTCCGTGAGCATGGTCCACGCCTGTTTCGTTCGGGTTGCACTCCTTGCGCAGCTGCCTCCAGCGCGCCGCTCCTTCGCCCGAGCTGCAGTTCCCCACGGTCATCTCACCCGCCGAGTCCTCAGGCATGGCCGGGGCAAGGGCGAAGCACAGCTGCGCGCTGAGCTCCTCCTCTTGGGCTGGGAGGTCCACGTCGTCTACGCCCTGCGCTCCGTCTTCGCACTTCTCGAGAAGAGGTCGATACCTTCTGTCCTGCGCGATCAGGTAGGCTTTGCACTGGGGGCTGAACGCCCCCCAGCGCGCCCCCGGACCGTCGAACGGCTTCACTGCGTGAAGAATCTTCGGGTCCATCATCTGGCCACGAGGCCCTCGTTCTCTGTCGGCATGTCCCTGAAGCTAGCCTCGCATCTCGGCTATCGCTAGATCTCGCTGCTGAAGCTCCGCCCGCATCTGCTGACTCTCCGTCGTCAGCCTCTGCACTTGATTGGCCAGTTCTAGCGCTTGACCTGCCGTCGTTATTGTCGGCGGTCGCCTGGCGCTGGAGATCGAGCGCGAGCTGTCGCTTCACCGCTGCTCGCTCCTCTTCCGCAAGCTGAGCCGCGTCGCCGCGCTCGGCCAGCCTCCGCCAGGCGCTCCCTCTGTTCTGGCGGTGGGCCCTCGCAACTGGGGCTCTGCCACCGCGCTCGTTCGCCTTCCTGGCCTTGAGCTTGCTCGCAGCCTTCGCCTTGCACATGCTCGAAGGCTGGAGTCGAACCCCGGTTCTGACCTCCTTGCCAGGGTGCTCTGGCCAGCAAGGTGCATTCTGCATGCTAACAGCGCGGATCGTCCCGCATCTGCTTCCGCGGCCTTCCGCCGCTGGACCCGCGGCGCGCCGCCGCTGGGCCCCCATCGAGGGGCTCCTGGAGCTCGCCGGGTGCGAAGGTGGCATGCGAACCTCAAGCGAGCCCCGCTACCATGCGCGCGCCCCCCTACCGCCGTCGCGGAGAGAGGGGGGAGGAGGGCTGCTCTGTTTCTTGAGCAACAAAACGCTACCGGGTTTCGGGTCTTCGCAAAAGCAGTCAGATTCTATACTTTGCTATAATCACAGATCATAATAAATTGCCAGTTTCCCGGCAGCCGGCGCGTTCTTTTTTCACAATGGGGCCCTCGTCGTTATCACGCCCAGCCGCTACCTGGAGGGAAGGAGACGCCGTTCTAATTCAATGGTCCTCTCGACTCAGCGCTGCGCACGTTCATCGTAAAAGTTTGCAACCGCTACGCGGGTGGAAAAGAGATCGAGTTCAAAATGAGCAGTCGGCCTGAGGCCGCTCACATTCGTCCTGAAATCTACGCAGGTGTGGGGGGGTCGATGCCAAAATTGGGTTATCGGGCCCGGACCTCAAGTTCTCAAATGTCCTTGGGCTTGCCTGAGTTCCCCTGGGGGTTTCCGCGTCTTGTCGAATGACTTGTTCGGGGTCCAGAAAAAAACTGAGACGGGCCAAGAGGGCTCCCAGACGCCGCAAAGACGCTCCAAGAAGGCCTCGAGTCACCGAACGATCGCCCCAGGACGCCCAAGATGGCCCCCAGACGGCCCAAGAGGCCGCCAAGACGCCCAAAGAAGCCTCCAAGAGGCCTCCCGAGGGGAACCCAAGAGGCCAATATCATTGAGTTCCCTTTCGTTGGAGAAGGATGTTGGCCTTCTCGCCTTTTCGGCTTCCCGACGCTTGCTGACAGCCCTGGAGGCCTCCAAGACCGCACCGAAACGGACCAGGAGGCCCCCCAAAGGCCCCAAAACAGCTCAAGAGGGTCCCGAAACAGGACAAGAGGCGCCCAAAACGGCCCAAGAGGGCCCCCAGACGCCCCCCAAAGGGGCCCAAAACGGTGAAAACAAACCGAAAATCCGAACCGTCCGCCCCACTAAGCCCCCAGGAGGCCCCAACAGGCGCCAGACCCCCAGGGCCCCCGAAAAGCCCCCTCACGAGATCCCAATGAACATCCAATAAGCTCCATACCCACACCAAGGATATTGGATCCGCCGCCCCCTGTGCTTGTCACAGGGGTGCCTGGCGTGCTGGATCCTTTCGGTTTTGGTGTTGGCTATTCTTCCAACAGATCTACCCTGGGGCTCTGGCCCAGCCCGCCGGCCACCTGGAAAGGATCGCAAAGCGCCCAATTTGCAGATGTGTTTCCCAAGACGGCTCAAGATGGCTTTCAAGACCGCCAAGATGGCCCAAGATGGCCTCCAAGATGTTTTCGAAATGGCCCAGATGGCCTCCAAGACGGCCCAAAAAAGGGCATCCAAGTCCGCCCAATAAGCTACCAAGACGGCCCAAAAGGCCTGCCAAGAGGCCTCCAAGACGGCCCAAGATGCCTCCAAGAGAAGGCCCGAAGGGGTCAAAATCATTGATTTCCCGGAGGTTGTTGAAGGATTCTGGCATTTGGTTCTTTTCAGCCTTCCGACGGCCCGAGACGGCCCAAGAGCCCCCAAAGATCGCCCCAAGATCGCCCAAAAGGCCTCCAAGATGGCCCCAGAACGGCCCAAGAGGCCCCCAAGACCGCCCAGGGAGGGCGACAAGACGGCCCAAGACGCCTCCAAGACACCCAAGATGGCATCCAAAACAGCCCTGGAGCACCCCAAGAAGGCACCCCGTCGGCCCAGAGAGACCCCAAAAATAGCTTCCGACAACCTCGGACGGGCCAGGAGCCCACCAAGATGGCCCAAGATGGCTGTAAGATGGCCCAAGAGAGACGGCCCAAGAGGCCTGCAAGAGGGCCTCCAGGAAGGCTCGAAGAGGCCAACAGCATTGATTCCGCAATGGTTGTTGAAGGATTCTGGCATCTGTTTCTTTTCGGCCTTCCGACGGCCCGAAACGGCCCAAGAGCCCCAAAAGATCGCCCCAGGACGGCCCACAATGCCTCTAAGACGCCCAAGATGGCCTCCAGAACGGCCCTGGAGCACCCGAGGGCCCCCAGTCGGACCAGAGGGACCCCCAAGACAGCCTCTGACGGACCAGGAGCCCACCAAGATGGCCCAAGATGGCTCTACGATGGCCCAAGACGGCCCAAGAGGCCCCTCAAGTGGCATCCAAGACGGCCCAATAGGCCTCGAAGAGGTCCTCCAGGAAGGCCCGAAGAGACCAAAATCATTGATTCCCCAACGGTTTGCCAAGAACATTAGCATTTGCTTCTTGTCGGCCTTCCGACGGGCTGAGGCGGCCCCCGAGAGCGCAGAAAGATCGAACAAGAGGCAATGAAAAGGACGGTGTTGAGCATGAGGTAGTAAGCTGAGAACCCTACTCTTAGGATAACGTCGGCGACGTATCGAGGCATCCTACAATTCGTCCGTTGATGGCAAGCATGTCGAGAGGTAAGAGGAAAGCTATGAGTTATAGAGAGAAAGATAATTGATAGACGTGGCCGTTGTCTGATGCAGAGATCCAGATAGAATAGAGTCACACTGTCGTGCAACTAGCAAATAGGGCTGCGCAACCGTGAGCCCAGATTGGGGCGGATATAACGTTCGCTATACAGACTCACCTTAAACCTCGTTTAAAGTGAGGCCTCTAGGACGGCCCCAGAAGGGCCCAAGAGGCCCCCAAAACTACCCAAACAGGGCCCCCAGACGGCCCAAGAGACCTCCAAGACGCCCAAGATGGCCTACAAGACGGCCATGGAGCACCCCGGGAGGGTTTCCAATCGGCCCAGAGAGGCCCCCAAAACGGCGTCCGACGGCGTAGAACGGCCAGGAATGCCATGAAACTGCCAAAAAGCACCCGAGAAGCCCCAAAGGCCCCCAAGAGGCCCAAGCTGGCAGCGAAGATGCCTCTCAGAGGCTCCCAGGAAACTCCTCGGAGGCCCCAAGAGTGTCCCCAGAGGCTCCCAAGATGCCCCGTCCTCCTCATTGTCCTCCTCCTCCTCCTCCTCCTCCTCCTCCTCCTCCTCCTCCTCCTCTTCCTCCTCCTCCTTCTCTTCCTCTTTTTCCTCCTCTTCCTCCTCCTCCTCCTCCTCTTCCTCCTCCTCCTCCTCCTCCTCCTCCTCCTCCTCCTCCTCCTCTCCTCCTCCTTCTCCTCCGTTTGCTCCTCCTCCTCCTCCTCGTGATCTTCCCCGCCATCCTCCCCCAACTGTTCCCCGAAGGGTTTCAATAACGGCTGGGGAAACACATGGTCCGATAGCTTGGCGGAGCTCTTGCCACAACGCTCGGACCAATGGGCGCTTTCAACCCTCCTGCTCCCCCACGCGTTCCCCGAAGGCTCTCCAAACCGACTCGGGGAACAACTGGCCGGATCGCTTGGCCAAACTCCAGCCCAGCTGTCGGCCACATAAGCTCTTCCACAAGGGCAGGGGGCGGCAGTGATTCGCCGTGGGCGTCTTCGATGGCAATATATCATAGGCGGCGTTTAGCGCGGGCGCCGGCGACATGTACGCCGCCGACGCCGATGACGTTGACGCCGTCGTCGGCGTCGTCGTAGGCGTCGCGGGCGTCGTAGGCCGTCGTCGTTGTCGTCGTCGTCGCCTGGGGGGGCGCTACGTACCCGCTAGGTTTTTTCAGGGGGGGGGTTCTGCACATCCCGAGCTCTCTAGCTGTTCTCAAAGGGAAATGGGGGAGGATCGGGGGGGGGCCCTGGTTTCTGACCTTCTTTAAAGTTCCAGGTTTCTGACCCCCCATCAAAGCAAAGTCTCAGGCCAGCGACTCGCGCTCCCTCAGATCTGAGTATGGCTAGGGTATACAGAGGGGGGGGGGGGGGGAAAGGTGGAGGGGGAGGAGGTGGAGGGCGTGGGACACGAAGAGAAGAGAAAGAGGAAGGAGAAAAGGAGGAAGGAAAAGGGAGAGGAGGAGGATGGAGGAAGACGAGGAAGGGGGCGAGAAGTGCGAAGGAGGGGGAAGAGGAGGGGGCCAGGCGAGGAGGGAGGTGGAGGGCGAAGGGCACGAGGAGGATAAAGACGGCGGCGGCGACGGCAGCAACGACGACGCGCACGAGCAGGCAGCCTGCTCCACCTCCGAAGTGCGCGACTCCACAATGTCGAGACCCTGGGCGACGCAAGGGTGGACAGCAGACAGCGCCCTACGCTCGGCGTTTTTCGCGAAGGGTCCGACCCCCCCGGCGGGAGTTAAATGACGAGGCGGGGGAGGAGGAGGAGGAGGAGGGAAGGAGGAGGAGGAGGAGGAGGAGGAGGAGGAGGAGGAGGAGGAGAAAGAGGAGAAAGAGGAGAAGAAGGAGGAGGAGGAGGAGGAAGACGAGGAAGACTAACTGGAGGAACTGGAATCGTTGGGCTAGCTGCGTTGATTAACATGACGGCATTGGAAGGATGAGAGGTATTTTTCCATATCATATTATGCCCGATCACTCGTGCACACTTGAGCCTTGAGCTGCGATGGTGGCGGCGGGCGCGCGCGGGCCCCATTCGAGTCGGGGCCGCCGGGCAACGGGGCGCGCCCCAGCGAAAAGCTCCATGGCCAGCGCACGCGTGCGATGCGGTGCTTGCGGCCAGGGCCCTTCGATCGCAACGACACCCCGCAAAAGGGAACGTTCAGGGGCGATCTGCTCGCTCTGGCTCCGCGTTCACTGGCCAGTGGCGCGCACAGCCAAGAGCAAGGCATTGCTCGCAAGGACCCGGCGCACATCGCGTACGGCGTGCGCTCACGCCGCGGCACTGGTCGCGCTTTCCACCCAGGTTCGCCCCCAGGCACTGCATCCTGCGCGTTGCTAGCGTAACCGGTCGCCTCCGGCGCCGTTTGGCGAGTAGGCGCCGGTGGGCGTAGCCAGCCGTTGCGGCGCCTGCGCCGCCGAGCAGCTGGAGAACACCCACGCGTCTTGCTTCGTAGACGCGCAGACGCGGGTCGTCCAGCTATTTGCAGGCAGCGTGCTTCTAATCCCACCAGCCCTTTTGGGCGTAGGTGGTCTAGAATGTTTCCATTTTTACCCTTTCTGCTTCCCCCATCGGGGAGGGGTGTACCCATACTTCTTATGATTAAACACCCCCACATCCCCACCTGGCCGGCCGATAGCAAAACCGCCGTCCCAACTGTCCAAAAACAACACAAACTCTACCTTGTTGTCGCCAACACGTCGTCGAGATGCGAAAAATGCAGCAGGAACGGGACGGAATGAACATCGCTTGGGTAACCCTAAGCGGGTGGTCGCGTCCGACCCATCAAAAAAACACAAACAACGTCTTTCTCGTCAACATGGACTTTCTTGTCGTCGGCGGGACGCCTGGCCAACCCTACGCGGGACCCCCCGTCCTACCTGTCAAAAAAACACACACATCAACGTCGGCGTGTGTCTTGCCAACATGCATTTTCTCTGGACTCTCTTGTCGTCGACGCTGCGGCCCGTCGGGTTGAAGAGCTCGGCGGGCGGCACGTCAGAATGCCTCAAACGAGCGCGGTTCAAGCAAGTGCCTCAGGAGACCCCCAAGAGGTCGAAAAAAGGCGCCCAGGAGGTCCTGGGGAGTATCACAAATGTTGATGTTTATTCGGTGTTTGAAAGATGCGAGGCCTACTTGCGTTGTTCCAACCCGGAAGATAGATCCAAGAGGCTCCCAGGCGCATGCCAGAAAGCTCCCAGGACGCCCCGCGAATTCCCAAGAGGCCTTTTCCTCTTCCTCCGCAGATTCTCCCTCCTCGTTCTCGTCTTCCTCCTCCACTTCCTCCTCCTCCTCCTCCTCCTCCTCCTCCTCCTCCTCCTCGTCCTCGTCCTCCTCCTCCTCCTCCTCCTCCTCGTCCTCCTCCTCCCCTCCTCCGCCTCCTCTCTCCCTCCTCATCCTCCTCCTCCTCCTCCTCCTCCTCCTCCTCCTCCTCCTCCTCCTCCTCCTCCTCCTCCATGCGCGGCAGGAACGAAACGATTATCGGTGCAACGCACGTGACTGAAATGAGACGCGGCGCACTTCGCGCGACAGGAATGAGACGCGGTGCAACGCGCGCGACTGGAATGATACGCGCCCACGATCTAAGATGAGCGACAGGCGTCGGACGCGACGCACTTGCTTCTTATGTTGTGGGAGGGTGGGTGGGAGTGGACGGAGCCCTCTGGCTTGCTCGAGCAGGCAAACTTTGACCCCTCCCCCGACCCCGTCCCCTGGACCTCGACGGGGGGTTCCCCGACGCGTTGGAGCGTCCGAAATGGCCTCGGCGAGGAAGCCCAAATCATCGGTTCTCCTAAGGTGTTGGCCCCATCTTGGCCCCCTGAAGGAGAGGGGGGAGCAATTGAGCCCCCCCCCCCGTGATCGATCTCCTCCTATATGGCCCCAAGAGGCGCCCAGGAGGCCCTGAGAGGCCCCGAGATGGCCCCAAGATGGCCCCACGTGGCCCCGAGAAGCCCCCAAGAGGCCCCCAGGATGCCCCCAAAAGGCTCCCAAGAAACTCTCAAGAGACCCTCAAGAGGCCCCAAGAGGCCCCTCAGAGGCACCAAAGACGCTCCAAGAGGCCTCGGCGAGACTGTCGAAATCATGGATGTCACTATGGTGTTGGCCACATTTGGGTCCTGCCTGGGGGGGGAACTGCTTCAGATGACTCCAAGAGCGCCTGGGAGAGCCCAAGATGATCTCCAAGGTGGCTCAACATATCCCAAGATGCATCAAAATGGCTCACACGATGCTCCAAGAGGCCCCAAGACCGCTTCAAGACGGCTCCAAGTAGCCAGAGAGCTCCCACAGGAGGCCCCGAAGAGGCCAAAATCCTTCCAACATCTTGGGACAATCAAGTGGTTTGGGCTTTCTCGCCTTCTCGCATCCGATGGCCATCCGAGGCTTCACGATGACTCCAAGATGGCCCAAGAGCGCTCCAAGAGCGCTCCCATGGCTCCCAAAAGCGCGTCAAGAGGACACCAAGAGGCCCCAACGGGCGCCCCAGAGGCCTCCAAGAGGAACCCAAGAGACCCCCAAGATGCCCCAAGAAGCTCTCCGAGGCAACACGACGCTCTACGAGGCGTCCGGGACCGCCAAGAGGCCCCCAGGACGCTCCAGGAGGCCTCCACTGGGGGGCCCTTCCACTGCGTGCCGAGGCCCTTCCCCTGGGTATCGTTGCTGGATGGGCAGGTGGGGTCACTTTTCCGTCGCAGCCGCGGGCGAGCGCGCCAGCAGCGTCAAAGGTCGAGCGGGCTATGCGCGAACCTAATTGCATGATGCCGACTATAAGCAGCACCTAAGCTGACCGGACAGCGCGAGGGGGCGCGGGCTGCAGCTGCCAGGAACCAGGCCCAGGAGCGAGCGCATGCTAAATTAGCCAATCGAGTTTGGAGCGCAGCCAAAATGGCGCGGGGGCGACACCAGGATGTAGCCAGGAGCACCATCACTGGGAACGCTGACACCAGCTGGGCCAGGAGGAACTCACTGGCCATGGCCAGGGAACTAGTGCATGAAGTGGCGCCACCAAAGTCGCGCACAACGAGACCCCTGAAGGGAGCACTGATCGGGACGTTTGTCGTCAAACCGTGGACAGAGTGAACGCGAACGGCGCAGCGGAGTGGCCAGGGAAACGATGGATGCGATCAACGCCGCAACTGAACCTGAGCCACTGGATCAAGGGAAACCACGCGCACCCCCGAACAAGGTCGACGACATCTGAAGAGAACTGACCAGGAACTGGGCAGGTGCACGCCTCAAGCACGCGGTCGAGTGAACACGAAAAAGCCGTGGACACCGCCGACAGGAAACCGTGGACGTAGTCAACACAGCCGGCCGACGGCCAGGAGCGCACAGACTGGACCACGCGCACTCGGGGGCCCCATGCGCCAACGAGGAAGTTGGGCAGGGGCAAGGCAGGAAGCCAGGGCCAACAGGGCCGCTGCGGGCCCGGCTGACTGAGGAAGGGCGGGCCAGAACGAAGCGTGGCAGCGCCGTCTTTGCGCGGGGAGTGGAGCAGCTCGATGCGGGGCAACTGCCGGAAGGCGCGGGGAGTGGAGGGTGCCGAGGGGCGGCGAAAACAACTACAGCGAGGCCAGGGGCCAACTTCCACATGTGGACCACGGCCCCAGCGGCAGTCCACGTGCGGGCATTGTCAGCAGGCAGCTGCCAGGGCCCCAAGGGCGGGGGGCAGCGGGGGCTGAAGGAGAGTGGAAGAGACCAGGAAAGCGGCTGAAGGCCGCGCGTCTTATGGTGACGCAGGAGGAGAAGAGGGAGGCAGAAAGCGCTACCAGAAAAGTGGCTGAAGGCCACTGGTTTGCCGAAGAACAGATGGATCACCGCCATGTGCGGGAGCGCTTGTCGCCTCTCCCGTCGCCGTTGTGGTCGCCGCCCCACTTGCCTCCTGTCTGCCAGTCGTTGGCGTCCCAGAAGTGCGTCCAGGACCAGCTGTCCCAGTCCCAGGATTGCTGTGAACTGGACGCGCGGCCCTTTGGCTGGTGGCCGCCTGTGCCCTGACGCCCCATCCATTTTGCGCGCTCTAAATCCCAGACAACCCCGCGGGTCGAGTTGCCGATCCAGCTCATAGGCGTCGAACCCACAGCGTTCCCAGGCGTCCAGGAAGTTGCGGCAGGAGGCCTCGCGAGTCAGTGCAGGGCTGCCTTTCGGCTTTCCTTTGGCTCCCGCGGGGGTGCTTCCTGGTGAATGCGTGCCAGACGCCGTTAAACGCGCCTCCCAAGTCTTTCTGGAGTCGCGCGATCTTGGCTGCGGTCTTCTCGCCCACCCTGTCGAGGTCGACGCTGCTAAGCAACTCGTTGTACATGCGGCCTCCGTCCACGGGGTCAACGAGATCGTCGAAGGCACGGCTGGCGGCCCTGCTGTGTCTCCTGTCCCCAGGAGTGCCGTGTCGCGCGGGAGTTGTCGGCGCTCTGCCTCCACCAGGGGCGCCGTCTGCGGCCGCTTGACTTCCAGATCCTGCCTGCGCTGCGAGCCGCTGCTTTCCCGGGCCTCAGCAGAGCCATGTTCGGGCCTGTGGGGCGCACCCTCGGCCAGCGCCTCGATAGAGGGCTCGGGCCTGCCCCCGCCCACCGCAGCTTCCCCGAGGATGTTCAGGGGGTCGTCGAGAGGGCTGTCGTCGGCCGCGTCGCCAGCTGCGTCGAGCGAAGGTGGGAAGGAGCTGCCTTCCTG